GGACCGTTTCCAATTTAAAAAATAATGGAAGACTCCAAAAGAGCTTTTGTTTGTATGGGTTATATTTAGAATATAATAGAGCTGGAAGGGACCTTGAAGGTCTTCTAGTCCAGCCCCCTGCTCAAGCAGGAGAACCTATACCATCTCAGACAAGTGACTGTCTAGCCTCTTCTCCAATGATGGAGCGCCCACAATTTCTGGAGGCAAGCTTTCCACTGGTTAATTGTCCTCACTGTTAGGAACTTTCTCCTTAATTCCAGGTTGCTTCTCTCTTTGATCAGTTTCCAACCATCATTTCTCATCCTTCCCTCTGGTGCTTTGGAGAATAATGTGACCCTCTCTTCTTCGTGGCAGACCCTCAGATACTGGAATACTGCTATCATGTCTCCCCTATTTCTTCTTTTCTTTAGACTAGCCAACCCAAACCCAAGTCCCGCAGGCGTTCTTCATATGTTTAAGTCTCCAGGCCTTTGATCATCTTAGTTACTCTTCTCTGAATTTTTTCCAAACTCTCAACATCTTTTTTGTGACATGGTGACCAAACTTTATTGATATTTATTGTATTAGAAATTTAAATTGATTTTTTCATAGAATGTTTATTGAATCACATAAAAATAGCATTATTAACATAAATAAAAATATTTTATAACAATATTAACAAAATATTCTTTAAGAAAACTTTATAGGTTTTTAAAAAGTAAAGAATAATAGCAATAGCAATAACATTTAGACTTATATACTGCTTCACAGTGCTTTACAGCCCCTCTCTAAGCAGTTTACAGAGTCAGCTTATTGCCCCCAACAATCTGGATCCTCATTTTACCGACCTCAGAAGAATGGAAGCTGAGTCAACTTTGAGCCTGGTGAGATTCGAACTGCTAAATTGCTGGCAATTGGCAGTCAGCAGAAGTAGCCTGCAGTACTGCATTCTAACCACTGAGCCACCAGAGAAGAATGACAGTGTTTTAAATTTGTGCAAATATTTTCAATATCTGACAAATCGTTTTGATTTTGCAGAGCCCTGAGAAGGTTTGGGGGGACCTCCCAGTTATCCTGAGACCAGACTTTAAGAAAAACTTCTCTAACCTAAAAAGGAATTTAGCAAATAATTCCTTACACCTTTCCTTTGATGTCTTCTCACAATTTTCCTAACATTTCTTCATCACTCATCAGTATTGGTGTATGTATATGTATGTGTTTCTGTCCGTGTGTTACTCTATATGATTCTTTTGTAGAGCAGAGAGATTGCAGAGCAAAGGATTGCAAGAGAGTAAGCTGTTTGCTCTTCTCATATCAAAAACAATGCAATTGCATAGGCAGTAGAAGAGTCAAGAAACAAGAAATTGCCTACAATTTCCTTTTGCCTGCTTGCTTTTTTTCCTCTCGTACTTCTCCCACAGATCAAAGGATTGGAGAGGAAAGATTTCAAGGGAATAAACTGTTTGCATAGTGTGCCCATGCTCCAGAGCTGCCAGCACACTTGCATTTCTTTTGATGTGTACAAGACAGTAAGCAGGCATTCAGGCATTCCAAAGGATAAGACAGTGGTTGAGGGCAAACAAAAGCCTAAAATGTGATACTGAGTAGTATTGTATCTTTCCAGCTGGAAAGCACAATCATAGTCATATGATTTCTCACTTAATGACCACTTTACTTCGAAACAGAGTTCCCTATCCCAATTAGGATCACTAAGTGAGGATCTGTAATAGCAATGAGAAATCTGGCAGAAATGTATACATTCTTACCCTATGTCATTTCTTTTTCCTAGGCAAGGGGTAGGCAACTTTGGCTCTTTTATGACTTGTGGACTTCAGCTCCCAGAATTCCTGGCTCAGGAATTCTGGGAGTTGAAGTCCACGAGTCATAAAAAAGCCAAGGTTGCCTACCCCTCTCCTAGGCCATACAATCCAACTACATTTTCCTCTTTAGTGTTTCCAACTTCCTGTCTCTAATCACCAACAGCACATCTTGTGTGCATGTTCTGTTGACTTTAGATGGAATCTGACCATTAACTTGTCAAACTCTTCTTTTTCTGCATCAGTGGTTGGAGCATGAATTTGGCTAATATAATAATAATTAGGGTTGTCTGTGAAATGTAATGGATATTATTTGCTCATTAACTGCACTGTACCCAAATAATGTCTTTGTTACAACCTTCCCAATGTTGAAAGCAATGCTGTTTCTTCTTTGGTTTTGGTGTCCTTAATAGTAAATTGTATGATCTTCTGTCTATGTTGAGCATTTTTTATACTCATGCTCCCTACTTCCCATGTTCCCACTGTAGTTCACTCTTTACAGCTTTGAATGTCCTTTTCCTACATGGTGACAATGGGAACTAGACATCCTAAAGCAGGGGTTCTCAACCTTGGCAACTTTAAGACTTGTGGACTTCAACTCCCAGAATTCCTTAGCCAGCTTTGCTGGCTGAGGAATTCTGGGAGTTAAAGTCCACAAGTCTTAAAGTTGCCAAGGTTGAGAACCCCTGTAAAGAGTTTTAATCTAGTCACATCATATACAACATTAATACTCTGAAAGATCTTCAGCTCTTCCTCAAAAGCATGTTGAGGACTATTCAGCCTGCTGATTCTAACACTCTGCACTATATCTTCAGTCATTTTATCTTGTCTGCCCATTCAATTAATTTGGAACAATACAGGAGTAGTTTACCATTGCCATCTCCCTCAAAGTATCATACTATCCCTTTGCCATTGTCACTGAGATGATCATTCACCGTCCTGCTTTATTGCTGCTGCTCAATATAACCACTGCTGGACAGTTTCATGTCATGGGTGTCTCTGCAAGCAATATATCCTCTTCTCATAGAGTCCCAGGATACTTTACCTGTCCCTCCCAGGAACTCCTTTTCATTATGAGACATCAGAGCAGGACTTGAGCAGGGACACTAATGACACATCCTTTGTAATATTTGGTAAAGCCAGAATGGCTGATAGTAGGTGGAGCCTTTCAAGATAGAAGCAGGTAATACAATTTATTGAGATTAAAAATAAGATGTACAAGGGTTCTCCTTATTAAGCCATTTTATATATTTCTACAACATGCTAGAAATGTCAGGTGAAAACAACCAGATACACACACATAGGGTCCAAGCTAACTAATTATTTACTGTATTCTGCCTGTAATACAGAAATCTTCCCAGACTGCTTTCTTTATTTTGGGGACAGATAGATAAGGTTCTGTGGAGCTTACGGTTAGTCCAAGATTTCCTGTGGCTGCATAATAATTCCAGGCTAATCCTTTGCTTGAATCCTCTTTCCTGCCTCGCTGCGTGTTTCCCAACAAGAAACTCCTTTTAATATGCTATTAGAAACATCCTTAATTTTAAATATATGAATAGGCTTCTCAAAAGACAATGAGGTGCCTCATAACTTCAGAATAATGGTCATGCGTTAATCATATATGCATAATACTATGCAGTTACTTTAAAATTTTAGAAATCCAGCTGTATATCTTTAAATAAATATGGAGATCCAGTCATTCTTAATACAAATCTATGAGGACTCCTTGTGCTTTTGTTTCAGCATGAGAATGAAAGTGGCTGTAAATTAGATTCTGTGCAATATCTTGTTCCTTATTTTTGAACTGATTAGTTTTATACTGTTGGCAGTGACTTACTCTGTTGAATTCAGCTTGGGATTTTGTAGCAATTTTCAGCATGGTGTTCTAACCCCTGAGGGACTGTGTAGATATTCTGTCAAACCTTTTCCAATGGATGTGTATTTCATTTGTGAGATGTACTGTGCTCATTTAAAAGAGCCACTCTTCAATCTGTGATGGAGCATTTTCAAAAGCTTAGAGAGGCGGAAGTCTGACACACTGACTAAAGTATTGTTCCTTCCTAAGATGTATTGGCTCCATTAATAAGAATAGAATTTCTGCATTGTATTGAATTTTGTACTGCAGTGTTCTAATTATTCAAAAGTTATTTTAGATGAAATAAGTAATATACTAAAATATCATCATTTGCTATAGAAATTACTGGAATCACTACCATTGAGGTACTGGTAAATCTATCTTCTTTGCCAATTTTAAAGTGTTTTTTTTTTTAAATATGCTCTTAGCACACATTAATATAACAAATGTGAGTAATACATAGTGGATCAGATAAGAAAATTGCTTATTCTAATATTTTGGTTCTGAAAATAGGCAAGAAAATATATCTGGAATATGTAACAAGGTCTTTTAAAGTCTTGGTTCATGACTGATTAGCTGCTTTTATTTCTTTTGGGTCTTTTTCAGAACAAAATAATAGTCAATTCAGATCTTAGTATCTCATCAAATGACTTACATAAACCTAATACATAAAAATCATTCTAATTTATGATCAGAATTTCAAATATCTGCATTTCGCTGTCACTAAAAAACAAGGAATGGGTGAACAACGAAGCATTAGGGAATGTTGTTACTAGAAGTTTTTTTTAATTTACTTCAAATCCTTCGGATATTTATTCTAAGAAGAAACAAAATTTCTAGAAATATTCATAAATCAGATATTAGTGGCAATTCTTAATGTAGCCATTCTCTATTCTAGAAAAGTATCATTTCATAACTATGTAAGTCATGAGTAACATTAAAAGGCAAATAAGATCATTCTATTAATTGCATTCTTTTTTTTTTAATTTACAGATGTTACTTGGAAGATGGAGCTTCAAAAGGTGCCTGGCTGAATCGATCAAGTATTATTTTTGCAGGAGGAGACAAGTGGTCAGTAGATCCTCGAGTTTCAATTGCAACAGCAAATAAAAGGGAATACAGTCTCCAGATACAGAATGTGGATGTGTCAGATGATGGTCTATATACTTGTTCAGTGCAGACCCAACATACGCCCAGAACCATGCAGGTGTACTTAACTGTAAAAGGTATAAATAATTCCATTTTCTAAATTTTAATTAATTTTTATAGACAGAATCAATTTGGCATTTGATTGTAATAGATAATTAATTCATTTATAGTTTTGTTTGATGCCATGAATTAAAAATACAGTTGGCATAATTGTAGTCAGTTACAAACACATGTCAAAATGTGTGGGAGTATGAATGTTTTGTGAAAAAGAGCTGGGAGGATTGATTTTGTGCTTGCAGAAAAAGGTATGGTATTTATTAAAATTAAGAAATGCCATGTATTCTAACTTTAAAAGTTAGAATTATAATCATACCTCCCATTATGAAAAAGATTTTGTTCATTGCTCCCTGCATGAAATATGTACCAGTTTGTTAAAATTATATAATCCTATTTGTTTGCCACAGCTAGATACCATTATGAAACAAGCATCAGAAAAAAAATTGAAGATAAGTGTCCTCTTCTGGTCTAATACTTTTTTCAACTTAATTATTTGGAGTCAGGTTTATTGAAGATGTTATTCAACAGTTTAGTTGCAAGTAAAATGATTTATATCCACAATGATTTGAGTAATTATGAATTTGGATTAAATGAGACCTATTCTGTTCAATTTAGCATCCACTCTAAAACAAGCATGATGTTTCATCTTTTTCTTTTGCACGTACTTTAACTTGCAGTGGGAGATGCCCTCCCTTATCTACCTTATGAACCTCTTATTTCATTAAAAGAATGCAAAAGTAGAACAAATTTCTCAGTTCAGTGTAGCAGCTCCTTATTTAAGTGGAGGTACAAAGTAAAAATGTACATTATTTTCAGTCTGTTGTCTCTCCCTTACAGTCAACATTGCCGTCCCATTTTTCTCCATTAGAGATGTATGTAGTAAATTAGATTATTTGCTGAAGTTTTCTGTTGACTACTGCAATATTTCCTAGTTTCATACAGAAACATTACTTAAGTGAGAAATGCATATTTTTTCTACAGTCTCTATGCATTAGATTTGCAGCACCACTTTTTGATTAACCAATATTTCAAATATCTAATAGATCTAATATTTTCCACCATAATTGATATATGACTCTGGCTTCATAGTTAACCAAAGCACAGAATCTTTGTCAGGATATTTGTAGTAAACATATACATCATATGTCTGAAGATAAAGAAAAAGGATGGCCTATATATAGTCAGAAGCACTTGTATATTGGCTATGTTTCACATGAAGCAGTGGATTAAGTATAATCCAGCAGTGGATTAAGTATACAGTTCATGAACTGTAACACAGACTATCACACAAACTGTTCCTGAAAATGGTTTGTTAGTCTCTCTTTTCCCAGATCAATGAACTGGCCAGCAGCTGACATTACATTTTTAAAAATAACACACACACCCCACAAAAATGAGAGTGTTATAGAGTAGTTGAAGTTAAAGCCATTCTAAGTTAAATGAGACAAGATGATGCTTTGTTAAAGTTTTCTACCTTGACCAGATTTGGGCAATGTCGTTTCATTCAGGCAGTATGCTAAGCATAACCAAATTTAGCCAAATTTACTGTATGAACCAGGTCATACTTTGATCAATGCTTAGTTTAGTGGAATGCTGTTTGGGTCTGCTGAAGCTGTTCTTCCAGGCACATTAACTCATCTCTATTTTGTAATGTCTCTTCTCAAATAGTGACCCCTGGTAGCATCATCTCTGCATGCGTCCCAAAATGAAAATCCCTCAGTGTCTAATAAGCCATTAAAAAGAAATACATGCATCCCACTAAGAAGATATTGAAGGATGAAAAAAACAAAACAGTTTTTCTGAAATTGATTTTAGCTAAGGCACACCCTGAATGAGAGCACTTTGATTCCCAGAATTCTTCAGCCTTAATGGCCATACTGAGAATTCTGGGAGCTGCCCCAAACACTGAGAAAAAGATGCTGTGGACCAGACAGTGTTCAAAGTATTAAAAAATGCCTGGCAGGTGATTTCATCAATTGAGAGCCAAAAAGCAAGAATAGTATCCCATGCTTTTACTGGTGGTAGTAGAAAAAAGAAGATCCTGTCAAAATTATGTATCTTTCAAGAGAGAGAAAAAAACATTCTCTGAAATAGATATAGCATTCTGAAAATACTGCAGATAAGATTCAGAGGAAATGAGTATGTTTTTCTTTCAGAAACTAGAAAATAACAACAATTATGGTCTCATAGGGAAAATGGCAACTTGATGTAGGCAGCTCAGAAGAGTATTTATTTTGGTAATCAAAGTTCTTTCTGTATCTTTTCATTGAAACAAATAGTCATTAAAGTCATTTCCTGCAAGTATTAATAAAGTTCAAGAGGGATAGATATCATTATTGCAACTGAGGTCAAAGAAAAGAACATAAATGTCACTGAAAACAGTGTTCCATGGATATTTGCAAAATAACAAAAACCACAAAAGCATGCTGTCAAATACACTGTTTTTCAGAAAACTCTCTCATCCTTGTCATGGCAACACAAGTTTAGTTGCACATTTGAACTTGATAATTTGTGTGGTAGGTTTCCTGGTACAATGAAACTGAATAGTTAGAAAGTCCCAGAACATTTATCATATTTATCACCAATGAAGCTGCTGTATATTTTATAAAACAGAGCACCATTTTGTGTTAATAACCTTCTCAGAGATTAGGCATGCCATAATTAACTATTCTAATGGACAGGTGGTTTAGGAATTAGCAAAGAGATGAAGGAAGCCTTTGCTCTCATGAGTTGCAGTGCCAAACTGGCTTGGCCATCTGATTGCTGCCTATCTTTTTCCTAAAATGTTCTTTTATGCTGTCACTTCAGATTTCTGTATTTAAGTCCCAATAAAGTACAAACAAAGAAAATCAGATTAGAAATAACTTGCATGTGGGGTTCTTTTTTAGTTACAAAATATAAAAAGATGAATGAATGAAGAAAGATCACTTTGTTTATTTGGTGGCATCTATCTTGTAATATAATCTGGGAGCTTACAAGGATAACTATCAGTAATATATTTGACGCTGTATCCTAAGTTGGATCATTGATTCATTTCATCTGATATTGTCCACTTCACTCACTATGATTTTCCAGATTTTCAGCAACAGGTTTTTATACTAAGATTTTTTTTGTATTCCAGATGACAGGGCGAATCCTTCTTAGCTTGCTACTGCAGCATGCACTAATGCTGTATATGGTAGTCATTTTGTAAAACAGGGGTCTTCAAACTTGACCCTTTTATGACTTGTGGACTTCAGCTCCCAGAATTCCTTAGCCAGCATGCCTGGCTGAGGAATTCTGGGAGTTGAAGTCCACAAGTAATAAAAGGGCCAAGTTTAAAGACCCCTGTTGTAAAAGAACAGTGTTTGTCTTCACTGAATATGCAACTGTTTGTTGATATGTTTATTTGATAAATACTGACAAACACCCTTGGAGCTCTTACTTAAGGTTAAGGATATAGATAGTGACTGAAGTCATGCTTTATTAATATTGCTATATGATGGAAATATGAAACAAAGAATGATTCTAATAAATGTCAGATCTTTTGTTTTAGCAGCAGTGTAGTTATTATTTGACTGCTGTCATATGAAACAAGATTTAATATAACCAATTATTTTTTTAAAAAAATCTACTGGAAGAATTTATCCAAGTATAATATAAGTAGTTCTAAAAGCATTTTTCTAGGTATTCAGTGGTGTTTTTAAATAATTTGTTTGCAATTTACTGTATTTCTGTGAATATTTTCCCATAATATTTTGCATATACTTAAAAGCTCATAATCATCACAGTGTCATGGTTCCGACAGATGAAACTCTTCAAAAGAACTTTGAGGCATTGTTTACCTTAAATAATCTTTTATTCGAGAAACAAAGTATCGGCACTATATAGTTAAAACCAAAAACTGAATTCCCCTCTCCTTAGCACAAAGTAGTAAAGCACAATTCCCTCCTCCAGTTAACAGTCATAAATCACATTTCCCAATTAGCTTGAAGTGTGGGCTTTCTCCCCAGCTCTCCAGCCCGCCAAATCTTTATCAACTCTGGGTACAATAACCTTGGGTTCCCACCGGCTGAGTTATTATTGTTATGACTAGCTGGACTCTCATCCACATTTCCCCTCCCAGCATCAACGAACTCTAAAAGCAATAGAGAAAAGATGGCTATATTTTCATCTGTTGTAAAAGCAAGAACATCCAATGTTAGCAGTGTTGACACACAGCTTTACAAATTCCACCATATACAAGGACCCTTGAATACTTTTCTCTAAGACTGGTATGGTGAATTATATTACATTAGTTCAGTCTTCACGTTCTCTAAAGGTAATTAGACTTCTTTCATTTATTGAAATGGTGAATATTTGAATGATGATGATTTTTCATAAGCAAATAGGTAAGCAGGCCTTTTCATTCTGTCATAAGTTAATGTACCTTATTCTGCTTATTCATACGAGTAAAACTTTAATATATAGATTTATAGTCTGTTGCCCCAAGACCTCACATAACTCTCAGAATAGGGCTGCCTTTGAATAGCTTCTGGAGGCATGAGCTATAGTGGCACAAACATTTGAGGGCACCTTTTGCTTGGCACATATGATGGCTAGGTTCTGCGAGCTATGTTGTCTTCCAGTGTGCTTCTAAAGTGCTGCTAGTGATATCCAAAGCTCTTCATAGTCTGGGACCAGTTTATTTGTGGGCAATCTCCCCAGTTGTATCTACCATGAGATCCAGCAGAAAAGACATGCTCCAAGTCCCATCTATTAGGGATTGAGGTAGCCTTTTCTGCTATGGTGCCCACTCTCTCTAGAACATCACTCCTTCAGAGAGTAGATTTGCCCTGACTCTATAGGCTTTCTGTAAGGCCTTAAAAACCTGGTTTTGTTGTTTATTTTTAGGCCCAGGTTATGTAGTTGAGCCTGTATCTCAATTATGTTGTTGTGTTGGTTGATCGTATCTTACCTGCCTTATATTTGTTATTTATTGTTTTTTAAATGTTTTATTGATTTTTTTTATTTTGTTAGCTACCTAAAGTTATATGTTTGA